AAGAATTTTTGAATTGACATAGTAAAAATATCAGTTAACGATTCCTGCTTTCATGAGATACGGGCCTACCAGCGGCCGAGTGATAAAGGCGCTGAACATTGGTAGTTCTGCCCGAATCACGCGAATGGGTGGACTTAGTCTCGGGTCTTAGCGGATGGCTGGCTGCATGTGTGTTTTTGCAGTTTTCCACAGTGAAATGAATACATGCAAGACTCCACCAAGAAGGCATCTCACTCCCTTAAAATTATAGCCAAATCTTCTTTACCATAATCTGGCAATCCAAATCTTGGTTGAGTCAGATTTCTTGGTAAAATTACGTATTTGATAGTTTTAGGAGTTTCAGCATTTTAGTCATTCGCTTGGTGAAAATACTCAAACTTTTAATACAAAGTTTTAATTTAAAATTATTAATTCCTTTGAAATTTTGGCACTGGAGTATATTATTCAATAAACGAAAAAACTTTCTCTCTGCCCCTCCCAGAAAGGCACGTATATACGTAGCTTCTTTTATCCGCAGAATAGGGAAAAAGGCAAAACAGGAGGCTGTGGTGAAAATGATAACATTCAGATTAAATTCGTTCAAGCTTAAAACGAAGAATAAATTTTTAGCGTAATCATTTCTTAAAGTTAAAGATATTTTAAGGGTTCCGGTACATTGCATGAAATATAAAAGCGTTCTGTGTTAGTTTAATTGAGAAAAGATTATGTACAATGCTTTAGTTCCGTGCTTACTTTAATTTGTAAGTAACTAACTCTTCTTCTGGCACAGTTGCTCGCAAGCAATATGCGTTTTCATTGGCTGTTGTAGGAGATTTGCCAGTTAATTGCCAATTAAAGGGCTGATGATGCAAGATATACGATTTGCAACAGTTACACAATTTCTATCATGTAACAAAATTTACCCTCTGCTTTGGATTTTTAATTTACCAATTCTAAACTCCTTTGGGAAGAAATTGAATCACTCATCAGACACAGAGTAGTTAACACCACTGATTAGTGGTAATTTGACCCTGGTTCAGATCCAGATTAACAAAGCGGCTTCATGAGAATTTCCATGATTTTTCGCTTCTTAAAATGAGTATAAGTCATTTTATTTTAGAAAATACTCAAGTTAGGCATCCTTTCCGTTAAAGAATAGCCTTAATGACTGTTTGGCCTTAAATATTTACCTAATATTAGAACTCAATTATACATCGTCAGTTTTATAGTAAAGCATATCTTCCTTACATAAACCTTCTTGCCAATAAAATCAGGAAATTATCATACTCTTGTTTGCCTGGAGCTTTCTAGGCAGGATCTTACTGACAATCTGCTGTTGGTTCTGAATTGCACAATGCCATGGACCTTATTTAGCTCTGCTAATCTTTGGGCATGAGGAACAACAAAACCAGGAAATCCAGTAGATTTCCTAATCTTACTATACACGAGCTATCTGCCAAGGCTGAAAGATATTTTCGTGGAGAACATTTTAACAAAAAATGGTTTATAATTAGAATACACATAGAGAAGTCTATAAATGCATCCCTGCAGATAGCACTTTCATTAGTATAAGTATTCAGGCTGAATACAGAAATAAGAGTTAGAACTAAGTTCTTAAACTAAAATTAAAACTAAAATTTGTAATAAATTTATTACGCTCATTATTATGCAGAATAAACTCACATTAATTCAGAAAATAATAAAAATTACCAGTTATGTTGAAATTAGAATTCAACACGGTACTTCAGGTAACAATTAAAATATAAAATTACAGTAGAAGCTACTATAAAATTACTATGATAAATAGATTCCTGATTTTGGGAGAATAATAATTAATGAGCTTTCCCCCTTGGTAAAGAAAAAATACAGTCTTATTTTCATAAAGAAAGTTTCGTTTAATTGTAATAATATTGCCTTTTTAAGTAATAATATAGAAATAAAGACTTAAGTTATGCATTGCTACTTACTTAAATGTTTATTCTGTTACAAAAACATTCAAATTTAAAACTGCTGAAAATTAATCACTTCCTTTTTATAAAATTGAGAAAATATTTATTATTGGCAATGCACTAAAATCAAATCTTATGCAATTTATAATGAGTAAAATTAAATAATCTTACGAATTATTGCAACCCTTACTAAAACTCGCCAAAGTTTCAGAATGTACCAAACTAAATAACCACGTCCACAACAATTATTTGGGCAATCATGCGCATGACAAAAATTCGGTTTCCAACCTCGCCATTTTCGTATGCGTTCTTTTTGTCGTATCATGTCTATGTCTGTCTTATCACTTAGTAAGAGGAAATCGACCATTAACGGCCTTTACCAATATATTAAACTTACCAATATATTGACTTGAGGAATTAAATGCTTGAGGAATTGAGTAATTTGTATCCAATAATATGCAAGTACTTGTGCACATGCTGTGCTAGAACTCAGAGATTACTAGCGACGGAGGCTCCTGTGCCGCCGTCCGTAGAATAAGTAAACTTTGAACAAATGAGGCGTCGTGGGACGCCATCTATTAGTAGGGAGATGAAAAGCATTTCAGTTGACTGGAGCTCTGGTTGCCGCCATCTCTTGCATGATGTATCGTAAGGCATTTTTTAAAATTTCATTAAAAATTAGTTCTTCTTAATAAGCAATAATTGGACAAGTGAAATCGTGAAAAACACAATTTGCTTGTAGATAGAAACGTTTCACAAGTGTAAAAACTATTTACATACAAAGTCTACCTGCTTTGGCAGGAACAAAGTCCATAGCGCATTGTAATTTGATTAGTAAATCTATAAAGAAAATGAAATCAAATTTTGGCTAAATAAGAAGAAAACGAAAGTATATACATTACCGCCGACTATTATGGTGAATAGTGCGGGGACTCTTGTGGCGTTGTTCAAATGTGAAATCATAATTTCCTAGTTTTTTGATGAAATTCTTAGAATGACTGTACATTAAAAAAGTTATGAGAAGCTTTTAGAATTTCAGAATCCGTGGCTTTAATTTTTAAGTCATTGTGAAGATTGCTGTTTTGTACGAACCAAGGAGCATTTGTAATTAATTATTCGGATGACCTTGTTTTGAATTCTTTGCATTTTTTCGCAATGAGTTCATGCAGTTGCAGGTCACGCTGGGGAAGCATACAGTAAAATCGGTCGGATAGCTTGTAGATAAATAACTCTTTTTGTAGCGAGATTAAGTTTAGAATTTCTCCCTATTTGTCGTATTTCAAGTTCTTCGGCTTTTATATAAAAATTACGGTTATATTTTTATCTCGATTTCATATTTTGTTCTTTTTGGTTTCATTAGATTACGGCAAAGCACTCGACGGCTACCTGCCTTAAGGAAGGGATGTAGCTCTTCGTGGAGGACTTTCTAAGGAAAACTGGCTCGTATACACGCTACACATGGGGAAAACCACGAAAAAGCCCATGCAGCCAGCCCATTCGCGGGATTCGAACCTCGGACCGAACTGCCAGTGTTCAGCGACGTAACCGCTTTGTTCTTGTAGGATTTTCTCATAAAGAAAGAGAGGAGAAAGTTTTGCAGGAATACATTATTTTGTAGCAAAATCGCTAAAGGAACAACGCTTCGAAATCATTTATAAAGAGATTGCTACGAAATTTCCACCACAACACAAACCAAAACCAGTTTGTAACTAGCTTCACCGATTCTCTTTTGAAATAAATATATAGTTGAAACGTAGAATATGTATGGAATAATAGGTATATATGTAATATATAAATTTTTACAATAAAGATAATTGTTCTTTTTGTGATTGCGCTAATAATACTTAATTTCCAAATTTTGGACTAAAATAGAAAACAAAAATGCTGTTAAGAGTAAAACAGAACATTTTCCCGAAATTATGATCTCATATAACACTGATTTTAACTGGCAGCAAAAATAGCACAGTTAGTGATTTTGAAATAATTAACACATTTGAGAATATTACTCCCAGTTTAGCATGAAACGGCTACGATTCTATATGGTAATTTTACAGTAATTTTATTACACAAATTGTAATTAATTGTAAGTAATATCGCATTCTATTGAGTTATATCTTCTTCTGCACAAAAAACAAGGAAATAAATGCAAAAACGTTATTAGAATTCAAACTGGATGATATTTAAAGAAAGTTTGTTTTATTCATTTTACGATAACTCACTTTTATTCAACTCCATTTATTATTTCTCCTTTACTGTTTAAAACACTGACGTTTTAGCTTTAATGAATAGCGCTTAAATCAGGTCTATACTGAAGTCTTTATGGAATGTCTATACGGAAGATGTATTATATAATCTTCTGTGGTTATGTTGAAAAATGAAGGAGTATTTAAATAGTCGTATTTGAAAGAGTATTTTAAGAGCTACAATTTAAATTATAATTTTCGAATATAATTTTAAAGTAAATAAACAATTATTCATAAAAATAGTTAAAAGTTTCATTTTAATGCATAAACGTTCAATATTTTCACTTTAAATGAAAAAAGTACAAAAAAAAATCTAGGGCTGATTTTTGTGTTCTCCGGAAACCTTGACAAAATCCTAGTTTCAGAAGGTTTTGCCCCTCTGTGGAGAACATAAAACCGTTACCTTAGGGGGGGGGAATTATGCTCAATACCCTTTTGCTTACATACGCAGAAAACTGATCATTTCGAGATGTGGTTTACATGAGATGGTTTGGTTTATTTAATAAGGACGAAGAAGTCTTATCTGCCTAAGAGGAGGGAAGCTTTCGTGGAGTACTTCCTAAGGGAACTGACTCGTATACACTTTGAAAAAAAAACACGAAAACGCCCATGCAACTAACCAGTTTGCCAGGATTCGAACCTCGGGCCGAACTACCAATGTTTAGCGACTTTAGCGCTCGGTTTCCATGCGAAAGTTTATTGTGTTATCATTAGTCTGACAAGGAAAAGAGAGCCAAAAGTAATTATTTCGTTGCATACACTCTGTTGATTAAAGAAATGCATTTTATATAATTACTAACTGACAAAGATCTTAACTGAATCAACTTACCTAGATATAGCGCTAAAAGACAGTAGATAAATCACTTTAAGAAGCAATCCTCAGAAGAAATCCAGAGTTCTTCCACAAACGAAATTATCACCACAACCATTTTCAAGCAATTTCTGTTTTATGCCACAAAGTACTGAACACGTTTTCGTTGTTGTTGTTGTCAACATATATATAGAACACGATTTCAACAATTGGACTATGAGCAAATATATAGAACACGATTTCAACGATTGGACTATGAGCAAATTTTCGCACCGAGTACGGTGATGGGTCATAAATACATGTCTTGGCTTGAAATGAGGAAGTAGTAGATATGAATGAATTTATTGTGCGTTCTGCAGATGCCAAGATGGTATTTGGCGCAGGAGCTGAATTCTTTAACACAAAAAGAATGGTTTTCCTCAAGTTTCAAAATGCTAATGAATCAAAAACTCAAATTATTCCATTTCACACAAATTATGAAAGAAATGGAAGACAAATTTGTTTTTCAATATGTTTATTGATAAAAGCTAAATTTACAATAGTTTAGAAAGAAAATAAAAATAAGATTGCCCATCCGCAGATTATATTAAGAGTAATAGTTATCACTATTTATATTGACATTATGAACAAGTTTAAATCATACCAGATTGCTTACTGCTGGGTTTTGGTCTATATTTTGATAATTTACCAAATATTTCTTTGTGTATGAAGACCTTAGTGTTTATAGATGGTAAGCTACAATCTTTTCCTTTATAGGCCAACACTTGCCTAACTATGTTCATATATATATATATATATATATATATATATATGTGTGTGTGTGTGTGTGTATGGAGCTATTCTAAAACATGTAGCATACTATAAAGGTGGGTAGAGAGGATGAGAATATAAGAGTTTTGTAATGGAATGTGTCCGCAGAAAGGATGCGTTCAGGGAATAGAGGCTCTGTTAAGAACAGTAGCTGGAAGCGATTTGACTGGCATTAAATCGCCATTTCCCATGCAGTTTCGAGCGCCGTGCATTGAGTTACATGATACTACGTGAAAATGAGCTCACTGATATGCACTTTATATTTCACGCGGCGGATAGAAACAGATCAACTGTTTAAAAGCTGAACAGGAAATTATTCACAACTACGCCAGTTACCTGGGGGTTACTTTTAATAGGTCAAACACCTCGTCCACTCACATAGCCAAAATGTGTAGAAAAGCATATGGAATAATGTTCAAACTTTTTCCACTGCTTAAAAACGATCAGCTGTCTATCAATTTGAAGAGAAGAATCTATATCACATCTATTAGGTCTATTATTACGTATGCGTGTCTCATCTGGACTGCTGTCAGCGAGAAAGACTACATTCAGATGTTGCAAAATAAAGCTCTTAGAATTATCACAGGCGCTCCGTTTTTTGTAAAAAACTTAAGCTTGCACTCAGATTTAAAAATAGATTCTATCAAAAATTTCACCACACGGATTAATGGAAGATTTTTATGAGCGAACTTTAACTCTTTCGCATCGAAGTCGCCCGTAACGCCCGTTCATTCAGGCAATGGCAAACAGCCCCAATGCCTCGTTTATTTTCTACCTAGTTCTTTCCCCTCCACGTTAGTGTATGGCTCATTGGTTTCGCGAGTTGTTAAAAGACATCTCAATCATTCTTTTGAAGCAAATAAAGGAGAAATACGGAAAGGTATTGACGTTCGCAGGTGCAATCCGGCCCTAAGGTGAAACTGCACACAATGGATGAAACCGCAGGGGAAAGGGAAAACTATTCCAAGACAAATTCGTAAACACGGGCGTTTTCGATGTTTGTTGAAAACAGGTTTGGTTGTCTCTCGAAGCGAAAGAGTTAAGAAATAACCCAGAAAATTTCGCAGAAATCTGGAAGTACGACATTCTAGAGGAAGATAAATTTTTTAGGCTCTACGCTGCTCATTTGCTGCGTATTGTACTGAACGATCAGAATGACTAATGAGAAAGTAGAATTCCATAGGGCTCCAGTTTGTTATTGTATCTTTGCAAATGTATGAATTCTGGGAGAACACTAACTAAACACCGACCGGTCTCCAAACCCCTACTCGGTCTTCAATTTTTAGAAGCAAAGCGATTCAATCTGTTCTCTCCCCGTCAGGTACTTATCTCTTTTGGAGAATATTCCTTACGATTATATCAATGTTTTATTGACAGAATTACATTGGTACAAAAACATGATTGGCCAAGAGGGAGAAAACAAAACAAGAACCTTATACAATGATATGACCTCTTCTAACAACAGTGGTTGTCATAATTCAACACCAGATTATCTAATTCGTGGAGTTAGAGTTCCCATTCTTCAAGATGAATCTTTTTCAGTTCGCCTAACGACAAGGATAGCAGGAGAACAAGTTCCTTCCGTCAGGCGAACTGAAACAGATGCAGCTTAAAGAATGGAAACACTAGGTTCGTGCAGTCAGGCGTCTCGCTAAAGTAGCCCACACATATTAAATGGGATTTAAATAAGGTGAGTAAGCTGGCCAATCCATACTTTGAATATCTTCATTCTTTAGGAGCTTCTCAACAATATGCGTTTCTGTGTAGCCGTGACTTGCCATCCATAAAATCAAAGTCGGAACGAATGGCACCTCGGAAAAGACGCATGTGGGGGAGGATAACTTCATAACGGTCATGATATCCGGTAAGTGAAAATCTGTCGAAAATGTACAGCTTCGTTTGTAATTTATCATAATGACTCCCCAAGCAAGCACACCAGGACCATCACAACGATCTCGTTTCCTAATGTTAGTGCATGAAAGCATATATCTACCTCTTTCCATATCAGCTGAAGTAGAATCGTTTTTCAGATTTAAACGACTCTCATCGGTAAAGAGGACGTGACTTTTATTGATGAGATGCCCAGCTTTTGCATTCTTATACACCCCTGTAAACGGTGCCGCCGATAAGCTGCTGCCTGTGGTATGCCGCGTTCAGGACAGCGCGAATAGACTACTTTCATAAACTCCTCTGGCCGAAATAAAGCAAGGCACCCATCGTTCGTTTGCCATGCGTAATGCTGAGCAGTGTTGCCCGATGTCTGGTTTCGATCACTTTCTCATATACAGGGCGATATATCGTTCAATATTCGCCATTGATTTCCTTGGCTGAGCACCACCATCCTTTTTTACAGGTATACCTATCATTTGGCAGGTTTTCTATGCTCGTGAAACGCCTTTTGCATGCCCTTATGTACCTCTGATGTCATCTTGCTGATATCTGCATATGTATTACTTTTCTACTGTGCTGGTGTTTCATTGTATCGATCAGAAAAGCCTTTTCAACAATTTCATCGTTGTATTTTGAAATATGAATTTGTTGCTTAAGTTTTGCATATTACTGATCTTCAGAGGACACACTACTACAAACGTGTCATTGCAAAATCTGCTTAGGTACTTTTCCTTTGCCGGCGCAAACGGTAAAGTCGCCAATAATGGTACAACTGATGCCAAACGGAATATCTTCTCTGGTAACATTTACGCCTCATTTTCAAAACAAGTCGCAGCCATTTCTTATCAGATTGATTGTCTTTCAATACTGGCATACAATTACATAGAATTTTTACAAGATATAGGTAAGTGCTATTCCCTAAGACCATTCGTGGTAATTAAGTCAATTATGATGCAATCAAACCGCTCACCCGCTGGCGAAAATATAGAAGAGGCAAAAATCAAGGATTAAATTCATCAGTTCTAATGAGAATATACTAGCAAAGTAAAGCACTGCGGTTTTACATAATTTCTGAGTAAGCTATTCGTACGAATTGAAATAATTCTTACATTTAAACTTGTATTCCAAATTAAGGTTTAACTTGAAATTAATGCAGATAATTACTGAGAGAATTAGTAGTTTATGTGAGATGAGATCCCTTGGGGTCACGTGATACGAACCGGAGAATCAGGATGTTAAACCATGAAACTATAGTAAATTCTTTAATTAATGTCTTACAAATTTATTTTGTCTTTATTCATTGGCTTTTTTCAAAATTTTAAACCATATTAAAATGTTTATGCCTTCAAAATGAAAAGTTCTTAAACCTAACATTTGTTAACATTTTTTATGTGTACTGTACGTTGTCGCCAACAAAGTCTGCTTGGCGAGATTTGCGCCGGTGAAACGGAAAAGTACCCCTGCTCATTTCAATCTTCCCTATCGGCTTAAAATTTAGAATCCCTTTCTATGTAACTGGTGAGTTACTATGGGTAAAAAAAGTATTTGCACACCTACATTTATGTTTGCAATTCATAAAAAGAAGCATTAAGAAATAAAAAAATGGGTATTGCGAAATCAGAATAAGTTTAATCATCCAAAACAAACAGAAAAATTACAATAATATAAATAACAATGCTTTTTTGTAACAAAATTAAAATATCTCGTATCAAAAAAGTATTTGCACACCTGCATGAATACAAAAGAAATAAAATATATAAGCAAATTTCAAATAGCTAATATTTAGTATGCATTCCTTTAGCATCTATTACTGCTTTACTGCTTGTAATCTTGTTGGCATTGATTTAATTAAATTAATTTATGTAAATTTTCATTAAGGTCAGTAGGGTCAATATTCGACCACTCTTCAATAAGGGCTTGTTTAAGGGCAGATTTACTTGAAATCTTCCTTTTTACTTATTTTTAAATCCAAAGAATTCCACAAATTGTCCAAAGGATTTAAGTCTGGTGATTGTGGTGGAGTGGCAAGTTTTTTGGGTTACATTATAAAGCAACCACATACGTGTTATACCGGCAGGTGTGCTTGAGGATCATTGTCTTGCTGAAAAGAGTATGAATTAGTGATACCCCAATTTTATTTCACTTTGTGGCAAGTTATCTCGCAACAACATCAATATAGGTTCGAGCTGTCATATTCCCATCAATGAAACACAAATTACCAACTCCTTTGCTAGCCATGCACCCCCAAATCATAACAGAACCTCCTCCATGTTTAACTGTAGGTAACACATTTTTGGTATGAAAAGCAGTACAAGGTATTCTCCAAACTAATTTCCTGCCATCTGAAGATATTGAACTTACTCTCGTTGGAGAATATGACATTTTTCCAGAAATCAGTTGGCTTATTGATATAGTCCTTAGCGAATTGAAGTCTCTTCAG